CCCCCCCGCTCGGTTTCTGAAGGGGAGGTGCGATTTGCAGTTGCTGTAATTTAGCACATAGCCCCCCTTTCAGTTCCTTCCGTTTGTGTCCCTTGCAATAGGTGCTTGCTGAGTCTAATCCCAGCCGATACGGCTTTCTCCTGGTTTGATGAGATATACGTCCTTCTGGATTTGCTGCTCCAGCAGCACTACCTGGCCAGCTGCAGCGCCTCCTTCTCTGAAAACTTCTACAGCTTGAAGAGGGTAGCGATAGGAGACGGCAGACGGCATCCTCTGGCCACTGCTGGCCTGCCAAAGAGGCAGCACTGGAAGTCTCTTCTCTTGCTGGTTCTTGTTCCTTACCTGAAAGGAAAGCTAGAGAAACTGGTGTCCAGCCTGAGGGAAGAGGATGAGTACTCCATCCACCCTCCCTCGTCATCCTGGAAGCGCTTTTACAGAGCCTTTCTAGCCGCCTACCCCTTTGTAAACATGACCTGGGAGGGTTGGTTTCTTATCCAGCAACTATGCTATATCCTCGGGAAAGCTCAGCATCATTCACCCATGCTGCGGCTGGCTGGTGTTCGCCTTGTCCGACTGACTGCAGAGGACATCCAGGCCCTGGAGAAGAAATTGGCTGGAGCCACCTCAAGCCAAACACACAGGTAGGTCAGAACATGGCTTAGCTGCTGCTTTCTAGAAGGTTCAGTGGGTGTGTTCATTTAGAGGTGATGCTGCAAGTCAAACTGTCTTGTTCTCCAGAAATTCTGCAAGATGAAGTTTACTGCCAGCAAAATGTGCTCCAAAAAGGAGTATCATTAGTGTAATAAGGGAACAAGTAGCAGGGATTAGCTTCACAGGATTTTGTGCTAATAAAATTGCCATGTTTGGGGGTCTTTTTTAGCACTCCAGCCTTTATCCTATTCAGTCATCACCTGCCCTTCTCTAACAAGGGAAGTAGACTGCAACAATACTGCTGAAAGGGCCGAAACCTAGCTCTTTGGCTTTTCTGAGCAGCAGCTAGTCATGAGCACGCTTAATGTCCCGTAAAACAGTGATCCAGGAGTGAAATGCTCTGTGGTCCAGGTCCCCTCAATCCAAACTCTTCCAATTAAGCTTCTGAACAAAACAGAACTTGAAGCTTTCTTAAAATAGAAAAAAACTTGAGAGGAACATCCCAGCAGATGCCTCACTACAAACACGGGATATGTTAACCAACTTCCGTAGCATTACGCAGCTGTGCAATGCAGTGACTTACTGCCCAGGTCCTTTTTGCCGTGGGTTGGGGATGAACAAATCTGCGGTAGTAACGATTTCTCCATGTCATGTCTCTCTGTTCCAGCATTAAAACACAAGTGCAGTCTGCAGCGAGGAAGGCGTTGGGTGGCATTGCCTTCTCCCTGTCCACCGGGCTGTCTGTCAGCGTGTTCTTCCTCCAGTTCCTGGACTGGTGGTACTCCTCCGAAAACCAAGAGACGATCAAATCTCTGACAGCGCTCCCAACTCCTCCACCCCCTGTGCACCTCGACCACGGCGCCGGCTCAGCCCTCTTACCCAAATTGAAGACCATGTGCCCTCTGTGCCGCAAAATCCGCGTCAATGCCACGGCCCTGTCCACCTCAGGCTTCGTGTTCTGCTACCGCTGCGCGTACAGTTATGTGAAGACCCACCAGCGCTGCCCCGTCACGGGCTACGCCACAGAGCTGCAGCACCTCGTCAAACTGTACTCTCCCGAGAGCTGAATGGCCCGCCTCGTGCTTTCAGAGTGCACCTCCCAGGCTGGTGGCTGGGTGGCAGTGACCCTAAATTCGCCCCTTCTGATGTCCCAGAGAAGACTTTCGACCGCTACAACTCATCAGTGAGCTCTAGAGCTCCTTTGAACTTGGCGGTACCTCAGAGTTTTGCAAATTCTGGCAAGGCTCTCCCCTTTGTTTGTTCACTGTTCGAATATCCTGTGACAGTTTCAGAGGGACAGGACAGCGACAGCCTGTCAGCCAGCCCAGAAATGCCTTCATAGACCAATGGAAAGGCGAGAAACACCGATTTGGGCAAGAAGAATGCAGCTGTGAGGATCAAAGAGCATCACTGGTAAGAGTCCTGCTCGAGGGCATGAACCAGCACATGGAAGAGGTAGGGAAGATTCTCTCAGCAGTTACTCCTCCCTTAGCAGCTCCCCAGGCGCTCGTGCTGCCCGGGGCGAGCCCTGGCACTAGTGCTTGTCAGAGGCAGAGACAGGCTTAAACCTCTGCTCTGATCATGCTGTTCTTAAGAATCTCCTTGCGTTTTCAGGCTCCTCACCTTTGACCTGAGAACATCACACCCCTAATTCTCATCAACAGTTCCAAATTAAGACTTTTGACTCTAAAGGAAGAAGAGGGGATGGGTACAAACAAGGATACAGGAGGGACATTGCATTTTCTGCATGAGGGAGAAAAATCACCAAGCAGATTAAAGCAGCAGCTGTGCCAAACGATGAGAGTTGGGTTTTGTTAAACAAGTCTTTGAATCTGTTATTATCTGCTTTTATAAAGCAAAATTCTGTCTTGATTGAGAACCTCACTTAATTCTTTTCTTGTTATTGGAAAAACAGAGTTGGCTCCTCTAGGGGCTCTATTTACATACAGGAGACTAGACTAAAGCTGCTTTCATCTTTGCAGATACAGTAATGGATATAAAATTAGTATTTTGTAGGCTGAGAATCTTTAATGTCTATGTTTGATTTAAGGATTACATTGCAATTATTCCAGTCCCAACCACGTAGCACGTTCATGTCACATCAAAGCACCCTTTCATTGAACAGAGGAGAAGAGAAAAGGTGCGACAACAAGGCTGGTTCTTGCTTGACACCCGATTTTGTATGACGGAAGGTTTTTTTCCTGGCTCAGCTCTAGGGAGCAGCAGTTAGCTACTCCAGCCATCATGGTGGCATTGCCTGTAGCATATGAAGAGCAAAGTTTTCTGCACAAAGGACATGGTCTTTCTGGGTTAAGAGATACGTTTGGACATTTAATCCACTGAACCAGTCATCTAACTTTCCCCCTGCTTTAGCTCTGCTTCAGAAGATAAAAATCTCTAATATCCTCCCTCGCCTGGAAGCAAGACAGCAACGTTACTGAACAAGGTGGAAAAGTACAGCAACTTGCATCTGGTACACACCTACTGTAACAGATGAGATTTGTCCCTGATGCTGTCTTATTATCTCTGCATAACTTCTAGACCCTTCTACCTGTGCCACTATAGAATAATAATAATAAATACTGACTCATTTCTCCTTTCTCCAGTAGTTATGGGATCCACGAAGACACCTCTATCCTTTAGAAAGCCAGTAAGAGCACACACATCTTACTGGAAAAGAAATCAGACCAAGGTGTAAGATTTTCTGAGATTTCCAGTCACTTTGGGCTGGATATGAAGTCACATCACTTGGTACACCAGTTCTGCTTCATACACAGAGATCATCCTCTCTCTGAAAAACCAGCATCCAAGATGCTCCACAGCCTTACAAAACCTGACTGGTGGGACAAATGGGGGCCTGACTGTCCTGTTGACTCTACTGCAACTGCTCACTTCAATAAGGAGCAGTTTCAGGAAAGATTTGTTTTCCTTTTACCCATCCTGCACTCTCCAAAGTTCTCTCTGTTGCTCACAGAGAAGGCGGGCAGGGCTGGGACAGGAGATGGACTCACCGCCAGCACTGCAGAGCTCTTGGGCAATTCCACCCCACCCTCCCCTCCAGCCCAGGACTAACTGATAGCTGAACAGCCCAAGCTGCCTGCACGCAGCTGCTCTGGGGCCTCGACACCTCCTTCTCCCGGGGTTAATCTCTCTCCCTCTCCGCAGAACAGCCACCTGATGCCAGCCTCTCAGATCCCAGCTGCCTCCCACTCCACCTCTGCCCACACCACGCTGCACAACACCCCGTCCCTGTCAGACTTAGATGCCGCCAACTCCACGGCAGCTCGAGACCTGCACAGAACCACCCACACCTAAGCCTCAGTTCTGAACAGTCGTAATCACTCTTTTGAATGTTAAGTTGCTCTTGAATGCCTGGCAGACGAGCGAGCATTAAGGCCACAAGGGTCAGAGGCTCAGCAGTCACCTGGCAGATTTTATTAGTGTTCCTGCAGGTGGCTGCAGAATACAACTTGGATTTGACTGTGTCTTCTACCCCTCCTGTCCTTAGTAGCCACATACATACCCATTTATCAGGTTTATTGCTCTAAAACAAAGCTATGAAACCAGCTGGGTTACACAAACATTCCCATTTATCTTCTTAACTGTAAGAGTGTTATTAAAGCCATGATGGTCTAAAGATAGGCAAGAACACCAGCTTTATTAAACCAGCCTTTGGACTCACGTAGCAACTGGTGACTTCTATACAGTCACGTATCATATGCATTCAGGATGCTTTGTTCTGTTGGTTAATACACTTACACCAACATTAGCAGCACTGGAGTTACACAATACATTACTGTCAGAACTCGGCAAGCCTTTTAAAAAATGTTTAGTGACCCTCAGCCATAGTCATGACTTATTTAGACACTCTTCAAAAATCAGTGCATTAGCAACTTGAGCTGCTTTCCCTGCTTCCTTAGCAGGAACCACGTGGATTCTGGTAAGAGAAAACCACCATAACTACACCCATTCCCCACAGAAGCTTCCTTCTCCACAGAAGAGAGAAATGCATGTAAAGCTGTCACCAAGACCTGGAAGAGAATAAAAACTAGATCAGAGAATAGCTCCATATCTTTCCCTGTATTTCCTGATCGGCCCAGCCTCCCCCCGACCCCGAAAGGGCTGCACTCCATCCAGAGCAAAGCACCAGAGCCAGGGCTGACACCACAACTCACTTGTAAAAACACTCCTGCCTCTGCACTGGCCATCACTAGATGAGAATACAGCTGAACCAACTGCTAACAGGGTGTCTGCAGGACACACAGCTCCAACTCCATTTACAGAGTCTGCACTGCATTTATAAACGGAGAAGATGCAGTGGCAGTGTCTGGGGTTTCATAAGCCATGTCACACACAGGAGAAAAACCAAGAAACCCCTCTCACTGCAAGCTCTACTAAACCCAGCATTGCAGCAAGATACACAACTCCAAACAAGTATTTGCACTACTCACTTTTCAAATCAAGGTTTTGTTTTTCTGCTGGTAAAAGAAGTTGCTAAAAATTCTTAATATTTCTTCAGTATTTTTTAGGGTGCATCAAAAAGTTTCAAGAAGCAGCAAAGCTGTTTACTCTAGATGAGCTTAGCCTAAATAAGCTCAGAGAGAAGATTACATGATCATGCCCTGGTCAGAGCAAAGACACAAAGTCTCAGCAATACCAGTTCAGACTATACTTCACTCATCATTGCTTCGGGCAAATTTATTTCCATTCAATAAGGAGCTTGCTCCCAAGTCAGGAATTAGAACATAACAGTTTTTTTTTCCCAGAGGGAAAAAAACAACCGACCAAACACACACCTCCCCACCCGCAATAAACAGATTAACTTGGGTTCTGGGTTAATTCTGTCCAGGATCACATGGCTTTCTACAGGACGGTTTGCCATAGGTTAACACTGGGAGATGAGAGAGGAATGGCTGTCACAAGACTGAAAAACTGAGCCCCGAGTTATTTCTGTACCCACCTCTGTCCCACAGGAGCACGGAAGAGGTGGCACTCAGCACCATCAGCACGGATGTAGTCTCTCCAGTGCCTGTGTGTATGACAAAGCCATGTTGGTAGAGTAACACTGGCAAAAGCTCTCCATTTCCCCTTCCCAAACTAGCTAAGCCAGCGAAACCCCCCTTTTCCCTCCTGACACATCGATACACAATGCACCCCACATGGCATAAGAGACCCCAAATAGTCATTAATTAAAGCTTTGGCCGATATGCAAGCATGCAACAGATAAAAGGAGCTGGTTTAAGTTTTATGCTCATCCATGAATTAAGTGTTTGGGTTTTTCTCTCCTTACCACCTCCTGTTGTTACAGATCACAAGGGGGTGAAGCACATTTAGCAGGGGAGCAAGGGAACGGAGGAGGGCGACATGCCTGACAGACCCGAGCTGGAGCTAGGGAAGACAGGTCACGAGTTGGGAGTCCAAGGGCAGGAGAGGCAGTACCAGGCAAAACCAAGAGGAAAAACTCTGTCATACCTGTAAATGTTGCTGTAGCCAGTGGCTCCCCAAGGGTCCAGAGGCCTATTCTGATCTCACCCTTCCCTCTTTCCACCCCATTTCCCACCTCCTTCCCTGCATCCTCCCCTCAGGCCCCTTGCAGCTCCTCAGGCCCCAGTTCCTCTACCCCTGCCCACCCAACCCCCGTCAGCCCCCGCTGCCCTGCCCCGGC